GAGAGAGAGAGAGAGAGAGAGAGAGAGAGAGAGAGAGAAGGATCATGGGGCGTGACGACGACAATTCAGAATCAGCCGTCGATCTTTATGATCGGTTGGCACAGTTCTCTTGGTCGGAGGCTATGGCGAAGGACGCTATAGTGTATATCAACGGCAGAAGGAAAGTTTTGCCGGACGGCTATGCTGAGAGGACGCTATTGGATTACCTCCGAGGTGAGTTTTTTTTTTTTTTTTTTTTTTTTTTTTTCCCCCTTAGTAACAGATGTATGCCTCAACCCGGGAAAAAAATCCTCAGTTCCGACCGTCGATCTACCGTCTTCATCCGAATAGAACGCCCGGTAATTATCGCCGTATCTGGGCTGAAAGTTGTGCCAAATACGGCTATAATGACGGGGCGTTCTATTCGAGTGAAGACGGTAGTACGCAATCCACGGTCGGAAATGAAGGATAGGGGTAAGCGGGACTTATCTGTCCTGTTCAGGCATTTATAACCATCATCCACGTGGCCAGCCTGGTACGTAAGAGGTGATGACGAGGCGGAGATTTCCAACCTTATTTCTTTCTTTTTTCTGTTTTTTTTTTTGGGCCTTTGCGCTACGATACAGTGTCAAGAGGTTCTGAACAGGGGGAGTTGTAAGGAAGAAGATTAAAAAAAAAAAAATTTTTTTTTTTTTTTTTTTTGCTTTTGCGCGTGGATAACTTTGTGACGATATATATGAACAAATTGCTGAAGAAAAGAAAAAAAAAAAGAAAAGAAGAAAATAAGAGAAAAGGAAAAAATATGTTGAACTTCGTTGTGACAGTGGCGATTGGTTTATATCTGTGGGATGTGTCATTTGCTTCGGTCGACTGTCTGATAGGCCTTCCCCTTCCTCTTCCCTTGTCCTTTCTTTGTTTGATTGGATCCCTTTAAATTCTATCTTTCTCTTTCTCTGGCCTCTGTGAGGTTTGGTTTCCTCCTTTTCTTTACCTCTTTGCCTTTTGGCTGGCAGTGCGTGCAAGCGGGTCCTTGTGACACACGGGGATGGGGGCAGCCAGCGCTCAACCTGTCATCCACGTGGCTGGCCTTGTACGTAAGAGGTGATGAACATGCGAAGCTTTCCTTCCTTCCTTCCTTCCTTTCCTTTTTCTGTTTTCTCTTTTCCTGCCTTTGCGCTCCGATTCACAGTCTCTGATATCATGTGACAATATATATTTTATCTTTTTCTATATATCATGTGACTTAAAAACTGAATTCTTTTTTTCTTTTTTTCTTTTTTTCGCATTTGCGCTCTGATATTCTTGTGACGATATATATTGTCACATTGTGAATAAGAGAGAGAGAGAGAGAGAGAGAGAGAGAGAGAGAGAGAGAGAGAGAGAGAGAGAGAGTATATACAGTTGTAGAATTGTCGGGCGGTTGGTGATGCTTATCCACAGACGGGGTTAAGGTGGATTATGGGCCTCCCTGCATTTCTCACCAAACGGGAAAAATGAGAAGGAATCTTCCACTAGAACGCGAGAAGATGCACGGCCAGAGTTTTTGTCTCTTACCTGACTTTTCGTTAAATTTGAAATATTTTGCTCACGGGATGAAATTGAACAAGGATTTTTCTGTTGTCACACTTTTGACCCTTCCCTTCCAGATTCTTGCTTGGGTTCCTTCATTGAAATTCCTTGATTTAAAAAAAAAAAAAAAAAATCATTGATTGGGCTTCAATGCGGTATGCATTAACACTAGATTATGGGCACCGAATTTGAAAAAAAACATACAAATAGAGGCAAAAGTATCCTTGTTGGATTTCGTCATGCGAGCAAAATTTTTAAAATATAACGAAAAGTCAGTTTCTTGTGCATGCGGTGACTCGGTGAGCAGTGGAGGGAGGCGCCATCACTTACAGTGTAAGGGCCTTGCCACACCAATGTCGAAACGTCACGACATTCGACATATGTCAGGAAATTCTCTTTTTTTTTTTTTTTTTTTTTTTTTAAAATTTCGCCACACCGCATGTCCAAGTGAAGAACTCACGAGTCGTCTGCACAAAAGTGTTATATACGGGCCAAGTACTGGTGGTTTAATACCCTTGTTAGAATTCCCTGATCCCTTTCCCCCACATGCAACGAGTATAATTCCAATACCGTGTTTTTTTTTTTTTTTTTTTTTTTTTTTTTTTTTTTTTGAAATCTCCGTTCACTTTATTGCAAACAAGAATAGTTGAGGCCGGGGACCTCACAATTCAACCCGGGAGTTATCCTGGCAGCATCAGCCAGTTTGGCTTAAGAGTGCCTCCAAATCAGTAATTCAGATCAGAGAAATTTCAACTGACCCACGAATATCATCCGGTCTCTACCACTCTCCCAGCCTATCCCACTGCCACTAACTAGCCTACTTATTTTCCTACCCATTCTACCCTTCACAGACCTATTATGGTCTGAAATGGACCCAATTCGGCCGATTGGAACCCTTGTTCCTCGTATCATGCCACTCTACCACTCACCACGGCGGCTTTGTGCCTACTGCGGCGTCACAAGCCCCAACCAACCGAGTCGACCTGGTTGGTAAAACCGTCCTACCTACTGTCCAACCTGAATAATATCTCGTCCATGACCACCCACACCCAAGGATGCCGCAGTGCTCCTTCTTCCCTACGGATCCAACCAACGAGTAACCTCCAGCCTGCCCTGCGGGGATATGCGTGCAATCTTTTCCTCCCTACACCAGGTGCGGGGATATGCGTGCAATCTTTTCCTCCCTACACCAGGTCCTCTGGAACCATCTCAGACCCTCTATACTGGCTCCACAGACAGTCCTTCGGTGCCAGTCCGCCCTTATCTGTGTCCCCATTTGTTTCCTAGAGATCAGTTCAGCTCGTCTCTCCTGCATTGCTTCATGTCGAAATTTTCTGCTGTTCCTATCCAGCCAGAGTGCCCACAGCATCGAGAGTCTTGCTACCTGTGCCACGTACTCCCAACCTTCCTCCCCTGAGCACTCCATAGGAGGGTTCTCAAGAATGACCCATCTTTTCCCTGTCAGGTCTTTCCTTCCTGTGAATGCTTCTCAACGTCTTTCCCACCACCTCCACCATTTCTGAGCCAGGGGACACTCCCACCATAGGTGCAGCATTGTCTCCTCTCCTTCTTTACATCTTCCGCATGTTCCTTCCACCCTCATTTGTCTGTCCAATAACCATTTGGCAGTTGGAACCGCTAGATGAGACTGGAGCCAACCTGGCAAGGCTAGTTTCTGTGAGGGCATCAACTTGAGTTGCTTCCACAGGGCATAGAGCTCTTTTGGACGCGGAGGTTCTGCGTCTGGACACAATGTTGCATACTAGTGAATCCTTCACCAAGCATGGGCAGAACCAAAGATCAACCAATATAGGATGAGCATGTATACAGCGGAAGTCTGAGAAATGGACTGACT